ATAATATGGCGTTTATTATTTCATTTCATATAATAATTTTAAAAAGTAATTATTGTATATTAACTTATTTTTACACATTTCAATTTTTACTTTTGTTGATAACTCTAATATTAAATATACTATAATATTGTAATATATAAACTATAAACTAAAAAAAAACCAACTTTATGGTGACTACCAAAAATTAAAAGTTAAATAGGTATCTCTTTAACGAGTTGACGGAAATCAAAAATGTTAACAAAATACTCCTTAAATGTTGAAAAATATCGGCTTCAACTACACTTAAAAATTCCAAAAATCAGAATTTGAATATATATGCACAATTTAACCCAAAAAATGTGGTGAGCACGTTTAATGAATCACCCTGTATATGTATATATATAACCGTCGTATTATTGGAAGCCCTTTAAATAAATAAAACCAACATAGGTACATGTAGTATTACTGATACAATAACTCGACAATAGTTCAAAAATTGTTATCAATACATACGATGTGGATAGTTGTGGAGTGGGGCAATAGTAAGTTCTGACACGAAATATAACAGGTAATAATCAGTCATGGGTATGCATCATGCGTAAGTTCCGATACGAATAAAATACACCTACACCTAAATTCCTACACGAATAACAATTATAACGATTACAAATAATAAATATTCTTCCCACTTTATTCAGACTTAGGACTGACAACTAAATTGGTGTGGTTAAAATTTATTTGGTTTTGTGTTTTGTTAAAATAGTATTTAAAAAAATAATAATTCAATTTTAAATTGAATCTAGTCATTTTCGTTATTACTCATAAAATAATCGCAAAATTGGTTTATTTTATTAGGAATTTACGCAAGGATATTTTTTCTTTCGTGTCGGAACTAAAATATGTATCCGCTTACCTGCTATTTTCGTGTACGAACTTACCGAACCCCGTGAAGTGGGAAGTCGGAAATTAAGAGATTCTGAAACTAACCACGGAAAAGGTGCTATAGATGTATAGTAAAAGTGATCTTGAAATCCCATTGAAATACAAGATTGGAAGATAAAAGTTTAAGACCGGGAATTATGACATTTGACGATGGTACCAAAGACAGAGTATCCCACACCCATTTCGGAAATTGAAGATTGTCAAATTTTGTTTTTTGATTTTTATTTGTATAGCTTACAGGAGCTAACAAGACTTAGATACGAACAATTAAAAAAAAAAAAACTTTTTATTTTTGATAATCGACATTTTATAGAGTTAATTATTTTTTTGCAAATTTTGGCATTTCAACATTTTATTTTCATTAACTTAGTAATTTTAAAAACACTATTATGGCATTAAATTATACCCTATTTTTCTCTGAACTAAAAAAATTACTAAAAATCACGAGGTCAACGAAAATAAAAAAATAGAAACGTCAACATTTTCAAAAGAATAAACTCGGTTATCTTCAAATTTTTGGAAAACAATTAAATAACAATTAATCTCTTTATTATTTTACAGAAGTATAAATATTTCCTTATCCACGTGAGTCATGTATAAATTATGAAAAAAAAAAATAAAATAAAAACACAGAATTCGATTATCGATTCATTACCTCAAATGGATATTGCATTGGGTATAATCTTCATTGGACACCCTGTATAAGAGAGTCGAAAACGATGCCAGTGACGGCGAATGATGCTATTGGAAGTATTTTTATTCATTTTGTTTGCCGTTTGGTTCGGTTGGACTATTTATTCCGTGGTCCGCATCAGGCATCGTTATTATAATATCATACGGCCCTCGCGGCTCGCGGAGTATCTAAGCGATCGTGTCCGTAATAATACGGGTATTGTGTGCGCGGTGGTGTGCTGCGAGTCTATAATCAGACGCTCGTGATCGGTCGTACTTGTGTTATTATAATTCATAATACAGCAGGTAGTAGTGGTTGGGTGGTTCGGTGCACGCGAACCCGTCCGACGATTCAGCTGTAAGGGACCCCGGCCAACTGCGGCCAATGTCGATTGGCCGACGTAACCGTGGTGTCGGTCGTTCGGACGGCGTGTTTTTATCGAACCGCAAAATAAATAGCGTTACACAATAATACGAGAATTACACGGATCGGTAGGCATGTACGTATTACAGGTACGGTGATTGATTTGCGCCACTCGTCGGATTCCGATTTCCGTTCTCGTTAAACATTTTGCGGACAAATTAAATAGGCAGGTAGGCAGGTAGGTAGGTAGGTAGGCGGGTAGGTGGGTAGGTATCGCGCAAACGGCTCGGGCGTCTGGAAATATAGCGATTTTACAGTCGTCTCTGCAGCAATCGATCAATATTGCTGTCCGTCACGCAAACACGAAATTTATAACATAAAATAACATATCATTATATATTGTGCCAACGACCGCGACGCAATCGGTCGGTGTCATTGATTTCTCACGTCATTATATAGTAGACTTATAAATGGGATTTTAACAGTAGGGGTTTTTTTTTTTGGTGGAGAAATACAATTCATTCTTTTTTCTCAGAAAACGGCGTAATTTCTAACGGACCATAGATACATTTCATATAATATGTCCATCATCTTGTCTTTTTAAAAACTACTTCAAAATCTAAAACCAATAATGAACAATTATGTTTTAAAGAAAAAAACCGGCCGATAGAATACTATTTTGTTAAACTATAGTTGATTAAACGCGACAAAAAAAAAAAAAAGAAAAAGAGAGAGCTTATACTGAAGATGGGAGTGGCTACTGTTAAAGGTGAGAAGTTGGAAAGGTAGGATAAATAAGGTTATTTCATTTATATCTGTAAGCAACTATAAATAACGAATAACGATTCCGAGCGCAGTTATACATAACTAAGGTAATACATAACTTTTTTTGCAATTTTCGTTTATTTTCGATTTTAAAACGCTTGTAAAAAAAAAAAAAATTCGTCTGATGTTTTTGAAAATTTTACCACTTCTAGGTAAGTCTAATATACTTATATATATAAGTATTATTACCATGTTTCAAGTCTCCACGTGCATTTATAACCAAATGACAGCAAAAAAAAACTCCCAAAAATTAAAATTCCTTAAAAGTTCAAAAGTGACTTAAAAGTTTTGGCAATAATACCGTAAGAAATTAAATTAAAAAGGCAACAAAAAAGGTATTTTGTGATTTTTCGTTTAAATCATTTTTTCTGGTAGAAAACGTCGTCCGTGTTTTTATAAAATAATGAAATCGTGAAATTGTACGTTTTCCTACGTTTTGCCCCACTTCAGTGCTTTTATTTTAAGAATTGCGTTGGAAATCAAAAAGGATCTTTTAAAGTACCATCTAGACAACTTAATCTTTCAGAAAAAGTGTTAAAACTTGTACACCGAAACAAGTTTACTAGGAAAAAACGTGTTCTAGAACAGACTAGAACAAAGAAAGAAAAAAAAAGAAATAAACAGCATTGTAAAACCAATAGCTCCCTCGCTACGTTTGGAATCTAAAACTCGAAACGGAATATTATCACAAGCAGTGGCGGATCTAGACATTTTTTAAAGGGAAGTCACGTTATTTATGCTTCCAGTAATTAAATTAATATCAAATATATAAATAAAAACTGTAGTTAATTTACAGTGGGGGCACGAGTCCTTATTTCTTCCCCCTGGATTCAAAATATTGTAAAGTATTCAATATTATATATTGTACGAGTATAATTGACAGGAGCTAGAACACTGGATCCGTCTGTTCAATTTTATTATTCTCTGTTCACCTTCACATTGCCAGTACAGTCCATTATGGTTCGAACTAGTAAAATTAAAATAAAATACGGACGTTAAATGTCAAAATAATTAGGCGACTGAACGGAAAATGACAGATTTAATGTGTGGCCAAAGTACAAAACCCCGTCACACTAGGAATGTCACTGTTCTGAACAGATCCAATGCTATTTTTTAATCGAGATATAATATTATACAATGTCATTCGCGATACTTACAGCAGTGATTTAAAATTTACATCCGTAGAATGTTTTATTCTGTTTCCGTTCTTGGCATTGAGTAGTAAAATCATGGATAAATTAACCGCGTACCTAACTTTTTGTAGTGTGTGCAACGTGTAGGTACACATTAATAAGTATATACTGATGGAAATGATGATGGAATATTGATCTCGTTCTTATAGAGACCGTCAATCGATCAATCTTCTCTGCAACACGGGATCACGATTAATAAAATTACATACCTACGCAAACGGCTATATTATAATATTACCCATATTGATTTACACCTTACTAATGTAATATAAACCAGATGCGAGGTAACCGGGTATATAAAGTACGATTTTATTTTTTTTTTCTAAATACAACAGCGCCTCGGGAAATTTCATTATGACAATATTATTTAAGTAAAATACGATGGTGGTGCTGCGTAGGCGAAATAGAAGACGTGTTGTAGTCATTTAATGTTTAATATATTCGGCGCGTTTCTTTTTTTTTCACTTATTACATGCGTCCAAAGAAGTGCACATTTACCGGAAGTTTTCGTTTTTATTTTATCAGATTTTATTATGTTTTCCAATGTGAGAAAATTGTTAACTATTATCGAGCTATCACTAAACAGATTCTCTACCAGAAATCTGCTCCGGTCATTAAATATACCATCAGCTTTTCTAAAAGCAAGTCATTTTTGGACGTTTAGTATTCTTAATTATTGAGAAAACGGGAAATGCGCGTTTTTTAGTTGTTATTAATGTCTAACTTTGGTGCCAAGGAAAATCCACGACTAATATACTATTCCGCCCAGAATCGTTTCGCTGTTTGTAATAATTTATAGTTACATACAATGAAAAAATTAATTACTCTCCTACCTTATTCCCATCTACTCAACTACAATAGCGGTTTATCCGTGAGCAGTATCACCGTGAGTAACGATATAATATGCGTGCGAGGTATGGTAGACGCTATAGACCAGCGTTTCCCAACCTATAGGTCACGACCCAATATTGGGTTTTCTAACAGAAATGTGAACCAAATCTAACAACAAAACTCGAAAAGGGAAAATGGTGAAATATACACACAGCGGGTACAAAACATGGTTACCTGATATAAGAAGAATAGTCACAGCCAGGGACATTGTTTTTGATGAACCAATAGAATACTGTAACGAACACGACCAGGAAGAAGATACGCAGGTGACATGGACCAATGAAGAACATAAGAACAAAGAGACAGATTATACGTCACACATAGCATGCGCATCACCTTATCTGAAATTATACTCCAGTTGGAAATATTATGCAACACAATTCAGAATCAGCCATCACAGTAAATCACATTGAAATTATTTTATCATCATATATTCATTTTTTGTTTTTATTTTTATTTTGAAATTTACATAAAATAATTTTTATATTATTAACATAATATTAGCAATTGTATATTAAATATTTTATTACATTAAAATTAAATAATAAAATTGCTTATAATACAAATTTATTCATATAACTTATATTATTAATGTTATTAATTATTATGTATTAAACCATTATGGCATATATGATTTTATACATATTTTTTTTTAATGCGAGTCGCATACCCAAAAAAGAATAAATGTGTGGGTCGTCTTAATAAAAAGTTTGGAAACCACTGTTATAGACTATAGTATGGCGTATAAAAGATCAAACATATCGAAATACATTACGGTATGTAGGTACTCAAATAATGTAATTTGACAAGAGTTACCGAATTATGGAACCGGTTTGAATATTATTGTAAAAACAAATAGTTTTAAGAAATTCCAAAGGAAATGTTTGGACACCTGTAATATAGTTTAAATAAATTACTATTGTATAAAATATAATAATTTAATAATGTTCGAGTCTAAAACTTCAACATTTTAGTTTGTTTCAAATTGTTTGAAACACAACTGTAATAAAATCTTAAGTCTAAAATCACAAGTTTCCACATTGTTATAATAATGTTTCACGATTCAATAACGTCGTATTACAAAATAACAACATTAGAGTGGGGAATTTAATATTTTTGAAACACGAAATACGTATTGGAATTAAAAAATTATAACTATCGATATTTCTTAAGTAATTTTCGACTAAAATGATTTACCGATTTAAAAACACCACTAAATAATGATGGTTGCTTGCACCCCCACATATTACTTTCAGCATAAACTGCTAGTGGTCTTGTGTTATACTAGTGTCGTGAGAATTATTATCACTATTTTGGTTCTTTAATTGAATTCAGATATTGCTATTTGCCAGAAAATTGATAAGAGGCAAGGCACATTATTTTACTGTTGCTAATCGTTCCATCATTAATTATATCATAACACCATAATACCGTATTGTAGTTCTTATTGAGTACAACTGCCCAACTACGTGACTTTTCTACTTCAAAATGTGACCTACCCGTCGCGTCATTATATTTTTTAATATGTGGTTTTTCAGTAATTTTAGGTTTTCACTTAGGTTATTAACCGAAATTAATCCGGCTTGAACATGCCAAAATATCGTTTCTACTATTGTACTTTGGTATTTCTACAGGCCAATATTATATAGATGCAATTCCTTTATCATTTTTCTGTCATCTAGGGACACCCAATTTAGCTATAGGTGCTAAATAATTTGCACGTTCAATAAAATATATTGTATAGATTTCATTAGGTATATCCATGCATACGCATGTTTTGACATTCGTATGTAAAAAATAGATCTCATTGATCTTAGGACAAATCTAAAGCACTTTTTTTTTCACAAAATTATATCATTTTAGTAGGTATTTTTTTCTGTGAACTTTTCTACTAGAAATTTGTTCAGATTTATCAAGTGTGGCATCTTTTATGAAAGAAAATTTTATCTAGTATCTGATATTTTAGGTAGGGCTTTTTTTGATTTTCCCAGGAGTTTTCATAATACATGACAAAAACCGGAAAAAACGTGATGACCTCATCACGTTTTTTCCGGTTTTTTCCGTTTTTTCCGGTTAGGTGAACTAAGGATTTGACCATTATATAGTGTATATAAGGAGAGGGGAAAATCATTGGGAAATACATAATGACATCCAAGTAAAATGTAAAAGATTTCCCCTAATCCGAAATACGCAAATTAATGCACATTTCCTAATATATATTCAAATGGAGTGAATATTATTTTATTAGATATTATAATAATTAAAAGATTAAAATATTACTTTCAATATAAATAATAATTTGTTAAATTATAATAATTTAAGAAAAAAAAAAAACCAATAATTTTAAATTTTATTTTATTTTTCATTCTATATTTTAAAATATATTATTTTTTATGAATTTAAACAGTTATTTTATATTTATTTTAAAGTAAGGATGAAATTTGGATGAAGTTTTAGTTGATTACAGTACTGAAACTGAATATAATATAGAAAATGCAATGCTTCAATTATTTATTTTAAAATACTCTACCTATACACCTAGAATGTAGGTACATATTATTAAGATCAATTTTGACTTCTACATAAAAGATACAACGTTGCAAATTTAAATATATTAATGATTACATGAAAAGGTTAAGTTAAGTCAATTTTTACAAATTTAAAAACCATTTGTATCCCTAATGGTTTGTGAACCCGGCACTCCAACAAAGAATCGGACTTTTCGGAAAAAGGATGCTGTTGCAAATTTCAAAATCAACAAATCTATTTGTTGAAAATCAGTTGCAAAATATTGACGTTGGTTTGAAGTCGATAGCTTCAAGTGCTAGTGCCGACATCACGGTCGTGAAATTATGACGTCACAGAGACAAAGACCTACCGTGACAGTAAGGGTTAAATACAATGTTAACCGCATATAAGTATCTCGTTTATCCGGTTTTGTCTATACGTATACACTTATTATAATATTCTTAATTTCGGTTCTCGTTTCGGGATATTTAAACACCGGAATTGGTTTAAACTGCAACAGTCACACGCGCGCCATGTGTATTATAAAATTCGAAAAATTCCTCGTTTATTATAATACGTAAACAGCACGCGATTATATTATTATAATGTTATTTAAACGGTACCTGAATATATTCTATCGAAAACTGGTTAATAATATCGTTCGCAGTCGCGATAAATTAATTAATTATAATCAGAGTTCGGGAATTATAGCAATTCAAATCAACAAAAAAAAAAAATATATCATTATAAGTCCTTGAAAAGCTCGATAATCTATTTAAATGCTAAAATAAGTACTTCAAAGATATTAAAAAAAAAATTAGTAAAAATCAATTTTTACTAACATTTTCAAAATTATTGTAATTTTTTTTTTTTAAAAAATTGTACATTTAATCTCGTAACATTTCATAAATGTTCATAGCGCTTTGCTAGATTTAATTTCAAGTCAAAAACTGCTTAAGCAAATGTTATACATTTTGATTATACTGATATTATAATTAGTAAAGGAAACATTATATTATTTCCTATATAGAAATTTTTCTTACTTCATAAACCACTAACTAAAATTTAGTAAATCCTGTCAAGTCAATGGTGAACGCAAATGGAATATTACGATAATCTCTATTGGAATAAGGTTTTTGAAACGGTTAGAAGCTTACGAATACAAATATTTCGTGGGACTTGCGGTTATTACGTATTAGCGAGGTTAAATTAAAATAATATTTCTGTTTTTTTTTTTTTTTTTTTTATAATTTTTTTGTTTGTTTAACTTTACCGTTTAGACCGTTCGCCGCGCACCTTCCGCCTTCCAGATCTCCGCCGTTTCTAATATTCCACGTCGTCGAATTTTTGCTCCTTCTCTAAAATTCTTTGCTACTCGGTCCGGGCTACATTGACGCGGTTTTTCTTTAATAGCCTTTTCTTATTTAGCTTACCGGTCAGTGTTCGTTTTATTTTTTCATAATATTATACTCGAGTTAATCCGAGTATAAACTATTAATTATTTACGCACACAAATGCGCGTGAAAAAAATTGAAAATAATTAATATTATTTTCGTACAGCAAGACCTGTAGTAGTTTATTTTTATAAACACGGAAAGGCGCATCAAATAATAATAATAATAAAAAAAAAAAAAATTATATTTTATACGCATAATAATAATAATGAAAATGTCGGTGCGCGCGTTTAATAACCTCCGACTGGAAAAAAAAAATCTGTTTTAATTTATATATAATTATTTTACACCCGGTGTGTACCTACGTATATAATACACTACAATATTATATAGTACCTCCTGTGCATATTATAACGATATATATATATTATATAATTGCAGTGTTGTTATTTATACCTACATAAAAAAAATATTACATTAACAACAATCTCGTGAGTAATTGCTGGAACTTAGTGTGCGTTCTAATTATTATTATTATTATTGATGTTTTTTCGTTCAAACCATCAGATTTACGAGATAAATCTCACGTATAATTTATTATTATGTATAATAATAATATTATAACCGTACACCGTGCATAGAACAATATTCCCGTGTTAAACTGCAATATTATTTTACGCAATATTTTAAACATGTTTTATGTGTATCGATTTTTTTCCCCCGTTCTCGTTTTGAATTGTTTTTCGTACATTTTTTTTTCTCTACTTTTTACAGGACCTTTTTTTCTGCTTCGACCGAATTCTGCCACATCTATATCTTGCGGTAATCTCTAGATATCTTTCGTTACTCGGTGTAGACGCGGTTTTCCAAGGAGTTGTCTCTTATTTGGATTGTCCGCTAGCAATTCAATAGCACTCAATAGCATCATTAAACTTTTTTTGGATCGACAACTAATAATATATGTCCCACCCACGCACAAAAAATTTAAAAACCGCATCATAAACATACTACAGTTCAATGATTCATTTTTTCACTTATGAACTTCCCCTGAAATTATGTACTTGACCCAGTCCATTCTAATCTTTAGGATACAAGCAATTTTTGAATATTGGTATTATGGAAATTCCACTCGATATCAGTTTTAGTTTTCCTTCCTTATCGATCTTTCTTATCAATCTTTCTTATCGATTCCGTATTATAAACAGGCCCGTTTTCCTATATTATTTTAAGAATATTTCTTTCAATGGTTAATAATACAATTTCGCCTCGTACAAATTATTTTTGGTCGTCCATATTTTTTTTGATTTTCTGATTATATACAATTATTATTCATCGGAAAAAAAAAAATAATAAGTTTTTTTACAAAATAATATTATTTGCTCTAAATGACCGATTTCCGAAACCTGTAGGTAATATGCAATGTTTTTATTTATATAGACTTTAGACAAATCGGATTATGTTCATATTGTATTATTATAATAATAATATATTATACATTATATTACGCGATT